TGCTGATTTCGGTAGGACTCTGGTTTGGGCACAGTGTTAGGTGGAAGAGAATTCTGAATTCTGATCAGTAAATGCAATCCTCTTATAACATCTGCTAGGTACAGTTCTTAGAAGAAGACTGATTGAGTGCATCACTTCCAGCTTTGTCCCTAAAAAGAAATAATGTTTCCAGATCATATTGGATGTGCTAAGGAAACTTCTGAATGGGCCATAGGATTCTTTATGAAATGCTTAGATCAGGGGTTTTCAACCTGTTTTAAAGAGGTATACCCCTTCTGGTGGTGGTGGCCAGGTACAGAGTGTGGCGGGGGGGAGGGGCTTGCACACGCTGGCAGCTGCTGTCACCCACCACTGTGCCCGCTCTCCCACAGCCAGTCTCACATGTCCAGAGGTGGATTAAGGTGTACTGGGGACTTGGGCGAACACAGAATTGGAGGCCTCTACCCGCACGGGAGCTGGGCTGCAGGAAATGGGGGAGAGGCCCCTTCCCCCCTCCTGGTGCTGGTGCAGGAAGCTGAGTGGACCTGCCAGGCTGGGGGTGGGGGGGGGCACATGCTCACCTCTTCTCCCTGCCTCCCACCCCCTCCTCCCCCACTATGGCCAAACATACACACACAGATACGTACACAGATGGGCATAAGCTCTCCTCTCACTCACGTTCTGCACATGGACATACAGACACAAACACACTCTCCCTGCCATGAACACAGGCATGCACACACGCGCGCACACACACACACACACACACACACAGATGTGTGCATACAGATGGGCGTGCACTCTAGTCACTCACTCTTGGAACAGGCACACGGACACAAACACACACTCCCTGCAGTGAACACACACACATGCATGCATGCACACACACACACAGATGGACACGCAGAGATGCACACGTGAACTCACATGCACACACAGACATGCACACAGGCATGAGCACACACACACGTGTATGCACAAACACATGCACACAGATACAGATACACATAGACACAAGCGGCGGCTGCCACATGCGAGTTACTGCCCCTGCATCCAGCTGACTGGGTGGTTCCTGTGTGCCCTGCAGAGGGACGCCACTGCCCTCACCCTACCTGGTCCTGTTCTTGGGAGGTGGCAGCACAGGATGGTGGGTGGCAGCACTCTGTCCCTGCCTGCCTGCATGTTCCCCCTAGGACCTTTCCAAGTACCACTTGGGGTATGCGTAACCCCGGTTGACATCCCCTGGCTTAGATAGTGGGAAACAAATTGTGATTATGAACATGTCACTAAAACTGTGAACACAATTACTTTCCAGCTTTTGCTCTCAGCAGTGACAGCTCATACCTACATTGTCAGCAAATAAACAGACATGGCCACTTTCTGTACTTTCATAAGACCTGTCCATGTTGGACATTTCTTTTGTATTTTCAGAAGTTGCTAGGCAGCTGGCCCTCATCCTAGTAGTGTTCTTCAAAGCGAAAGGTTCTCTTGCCTTTTTAGACAAAACAGAAATATGGTCATGTTGAAGAAGATTAGTTTTTTCCCCTTCCTCTTCTTTTTCTAGGATTTGGATTTACCTGTATTAACCTATTTCTATTATATTTTTAGTATACTCTTTCCTTGCTTTTACTTAACTCTAAGACTTATATTGGCTCTGTCTGTTCACTGTTAGAAGCTTTTTAAAATAATGTTCTGGCTAAACTGTTTTTCCAGGAAAAACTTGTAAGCTGTTGGGGATGGGACATGGCTATATACAAAGTGGGTTTATAAGGAGTTGTGTATTATAACCCAGCAAACGTGCTCACTATTGCAGACCACGCCTCTTTCAAACCTTTTTAGTACCATTCTTTGCATTTGTTTTCAGAGCTGCCAGACATTTAATCTTAATTAGCAAATACTTGCAAAGAAAAATTTCCCCTTTAATAAATGATTTCATTGTCATATACTGACTATGAATTCAATTTGAATATTTACATCCTTTTCAAATAATAATAAACTGTCTTTGTTTCTTTTAGGAAATTTTGAGAGAACTTGGTTTCAAAAAAAGCAACAGAATGAAAAAACCCAAATTACTAATTGTTAATTGCTGAGAATACTGTAAAACTTAATGATACGTGGAAGTCTGTAAGGATTAGCCATAAATCATGGGATTATGAATAAGTCTTTGTTGTCACAGGCTTGTGTATAGTCATTCGAAAGCGTCTGCCATAAGATGCAGCAAGGCAGCTGTCAGCTGTTTTCTTGTAATTAAACAGCCAATGAGCAGCTAATTAAGACATATGTGTATACAGAAGTGGAAGTGGGTATGTTAATGAACTGTAGGAATCAATTCATTAAATGAAAATTGTCAGAAGACCAAACATGAGATCAGCATTTCAGCCTCTGCCTTAGTTGAAAGGGGAGCGTGGAAAGTAAGATCTGACATAAGTGAAGTGCAGTTGAGTTTCTCCCCTTCCAGGGAGGGAAGTCTACCCCAAAATGTCTGTACCACCCAACTACTGAATAGTGAAGTTATTGAAACTATTAATAGACTTAATGCAAACTGCTATTTACATTTCAAAGTTGCTTTTTTAACAAGCCCTTATTGAAGCTGACTAGCAGATGAAAAGTTTTCTTGCCCTTCCCGCCTCCCCTTTTTCTCCCCCAACTTGATTTTTTGGCAGTCTATGAAAACCAGTACAGTATACTTTGTATAAATTGGAGTTTGAAGTGCAGAAATGAAGCTACGCTTTCTAACCTGCTCTCTTTGGTTCTGCTAGAAATATGTTAATAGATTTATGTGAAAAGAGATTCAGGCTGAGATCTCAGCCTCATTGAAGTCAGTGGGAGTTTCACATTGACTGTAGTGAGGCCAGCAGTTCACCCTTTGCATAAACATGATTGTATCAGAAGACATCAAGCCAAATAATGCTCCAAATTTCATCACTGCTACAGCATTTTGAGATGAGGAATGGCACTTATTTTTGTTTTACAGCACATTGGAGCCCAACTTGACTGTGGCCCCTAGGTGTTACCACAAGATAAATACTAAGTAATAAGAATGCTGAGTTAATCCTGATTGCAAGTTAATACACATGACTTGTAGCTGCTTTCTATAACAATTGTAACCATTGACTATGTTTCCCCTACACACCTCCATGCAGATAGATCATTGCCAGTTCAGTTCCTTTGTTGGTAGCAGAACTTGGACAAAAGAAATATTGAGTTTTCTTTTTGTTAGTTACTTCAAGTAATTACCATTCTTTGGTACTGTCTTTTAATGACTCTGACATTAGGGGTTGCATGCGTACATTTTAATAATAATGTGAGAGGATCAGGTCCATTAAAAGGTTAAAAAATTAAGGGCCACTTGACTTGGATAGGTGTGTAAGAACCTTGTGTCTCTTTTAAAAAAAAAAAAGAAATCACTTAGGCTAAAGATGTTTGCGCCCATCCTTAGAAACCCAAATCCTAAATAAGAACATTCCTTTGCTCTGGGGAATTTGCGTTCCTTTTTTAAAAATTGTGGTCTGGATTTTGGTCAAATGAAGTGCTGTTCTTTCTACCGTGAGCATACAATGTAGTTCCGTTGATCCCTAAAAGTGCTACCTGGCATCTTTCTGTTAAGAGCATATGCTTTTTAAAGGTCCCTGGTTTAGATAGTGTGGTTTCTAAGCAGTGCTTCACTGTTGAAAATGTAGCTGCAAGCTGTAACTGTTGATAAATTGTACATCAAAGCTGCTGCCAGACTTGGAAGAAAAACAACAGCGCTTTACCGGAAAAAGCAGGGCGTTCATTCAGCCCTACTCCCCAGCGTCTACGTAGATTGGGTGTTTCAGTGGGGCTTTTTGGTGCCTTTACCGAAAGCTGATTCAGTCAGCTATTAGATAAAAGTGCCAAAAAGTCCTGCTGAAGTGCACAGTCTATACAGAAGTTGAATGAGCCAGGTCAAACTAACACAATGCCTGTTCTGGGCGCACACTGTGCGTGGTGTGGGGGCGTGCTGAGCTTTAAGCGAAGTGCTGGTTTTGTTTTGCTTTTTTCATGTCTGTAAGCAGCCTAAATGTACTAGGAAGCAATGTCTCTGGGACAAATCTAGGAAGAGTAAACATCCCAGCAGTTCCTCTGTGATAGCAGTGAAAAGAGCTCCCTGATAGATAGTGATCCTCAGTAAGCAGCCATAGAATAACCATATGGAAAGACACATAAGGATAATTGGCAAATTAGCCACCCAGCACAAATTTGTCTGATTGCTCAAATTAGGGACCTGCACACAAGAAGGCTCTACATCTTTGGGGCACCTGACCAAGTTCATTTAGTAATAGATCAAGATGCCTTTCAGGATCCCAGTAGCTGGCATCCAGAGATAAAGTTTGGACATAATTCATGTAACGTGCAACCAGATATGTGTCAGTGCAGTAAATACCATGGTCTTTTAGACAGCTGGATGGGGATTGATAATGCAAGATGTGAAGCCTTATGTAGGTTTTTTGAGACTGCATCAAAATCTTCTTTCATCTCAGTGAAGAAGAAAAGAATGGGCTCAGAACCACTGGTTAATCTGACAGGTTAGCGGTAGCTGCACTCCTAGCCCCTAAAGTCTAAATATGTTGCTCAGGTTGACCAAGGAAATGGATATACTAAGACCAAAAAAGGCACTTCTTCTCCATAGTAATTAAGAACACCTCTGCCAGAACGCAGACAAATCAGGACATCTGGCCTTCAGGAAAAAGAATTGACACAATATTGTATTAAAAGAATATCTCTGAGAATAAAGAAAGGTGATACCTTTGTATTAGTATTTCAAAAAATAAGTTGTTCTTTATCTTTTTACTTGATAGTTTTTTCTTTTTTAATTGTGTATTTTTTTAAGACCCAGTTTTCTCCAGGAAATAAAATTAGCTCTTTATTTGCTTGAATTGACTCCACTCAAACTCAGTATTCTATTGAGTATCAGTGTCATCCAGCATCTTGCTTCAATGCTGCTGTACAAGTCTGGTGGCTAATAGCTTCTTGTCTTGAATTTTGCAATTCTACTGCAGGGCTTTTTCAGGAGGAGTCAGCAAAGCAATGCCACGTACTCCTGTCCTCGTCAGAAGAACTGCTTGATTGACCGAACTAGTAGAAACCGTTGCCAGCACTGTCGATTACAGAAATGTCTTGCGGTGGGGATGTCTCGAGATGGTGAGCCCTGCTAGTTCAGGTTCCAGTTGCCAAGTACAAAATAATATTTAGTGGGCTGTCTGATCAAATAAAATTCAATGTAGGATTTGAGAATTCATATCTAAGATCCTCCAGTAGCTTTTTTAATGGGGTGTTCCCAAAAGAAAACCAATTATTGAAACACTTGGGAGGTGGATTTTTTTCTTCCCACATAACACAGTGCTAACTGATATCATTGCTTCTAGTTTTATTCCAAGGCTGACATTTTTAGTCTAATTGTCGTGGTATTTTCTGTATGTATTCATGAAATGCAAATACAGATGAACATCCAATTTAAGTTGTACATTGTGTAGCTGCAAGTGAGACTCTTGTCATATTGTTGTAGTCCAGAATTATTTTATATCCAATTCAAATATTTGAATAAGTCCAATATGTGACTATAAAACACATTAACAGAATGGTTGGGGACATTTCCTTTGGCATCTCTAAACTAATGCTGGTGGATGCCAGGGAGAGTATTGAATTAGGGGATAGATAATTCTAGAGATATCCAGTTTGGTGCTCTTCCTATATAGCATCCACTTCTGCCACTGTGGGAGACAGGATACTGAGCTAGATGGATTGATCAGTCCCAGTATGGCACTTCTTATGTTCTTACGTAAAAATATTGAGGCAGAATGAAAACACCTAACTCATTTTTAAACAGAAAGGTAACATACCATCTCCTTTGTGCAAAATAGCTAGTGGTTTCAGAAGTCCAAGTTTAAGCATTCAGTAAGAATAAACCCTTACAGCAAGTGTGTTTAGCAACCTGAACAAATTAAAGGAACTGGACTAAGACAGGATTGGTTGGCAAAAACTTCCTTCTGCCTGATGCACCTGATGAGGCAAGTAGTAGTTTAGATCAAAACCCTAAATCCAAAATTACACACAGTATGATGATATCTTGTCCACATGTGAAATGGGTGTGCTGCATCTTATGTAAAGCAGTTAAGGATGAAGTCACAACTGACGTTAATGGCATTAAGCATTGACTTAAATGGAGTTGCAGCCACTTATATCAACTAAGTAGCTCACCTTCTTACCAATTATCATTACATATTCCATATGTGCGTATGTTCTGTAAACATGCAGATTGCTTTGTGCAGATACTAAAAAAGAGCAGGTTGTCAAAAGAGCAAAATGTCTTAATTTTTATGTGCCTACTTGCCGTCAATCTTTGGTCTCATAAAAGGCTATATTGGACCTACTGTAGGTCCAAGAAATGCCACATTCTTAGGAATTCTTGAGATATGCAAAACCCTGGTGCCAGGCCACTTGCTTCTAATTTAATGTGTGAGTTCACAAGTTATAAATGTTTTCTTTTTTGAAGCAGTACATATATTTTGTGGGTTTATTGCTGAGTAAGTGTTCTTGCTCATCAGAATGAGAGCAACAGAATGCTGGCCAATGTATGTCATTATGAGCTGATTCTACAGTTTTCATTTTGCACTTGTTCTGATCTCTCTAAAGCTTGCTATTGAGCCTCTTCCTAACAGAGTCTGTGAATATGAAGCCAATAAAATTTGGGCTATTCATATCGGACCAACAAATTTAATTTTTAATTGTCATCCAACAATAATTTCTAAATGAGATTTGAACATGTAGATGGTATAACTCTGATTTCAGTGGATTTCTATTGAGATGAATTTGATTTATTTTTGTAAAGAGATGGAAGCTAAAGAATTGATTTGCAGCTCCAAAATAACCTCAAAACCAAAAGTTAAGTTAAATGTTTCATTAAACATGCTATTGAAAGAGTGTCAGAGCCAGGAAAAGGTACTGTAGTTAAGTTGTGGGTTGCCTATAGCTACCACAAAATATTTTTAGATCTGTCTGTATTACCAATCAGATTTTAATACTGTATTCATCACTTGAGTATTTAAGCTCTCAAGATTGTCACATTTCAGTAATGATTTATAGAAGTATGATATGTTTTGTGCATTTATTTCAGCTGTAAAATTTGGTCGAATGTCAAAGAAGCAGAGGGACAGCTTGTATGCAGAGGTTCAGAAACATCGAATGCAGCAGCAACAGCGGGATCACCAGCAGCAACCTGGAGAAGCAGAACCACTAACACCAACGTACAATATCACCACCAATGGGCTAACAGAGCTACATGATGACCTCAGTAATTACATTGATGGGCATACCCCAGAAGGTAGCAAAGCAGACTCTGCCGTTAGCAGCTTCTACTTAGACATACAACCTTCTCCAGATCAGTCGGGGCTTGATATTAATGGAATCAAACCAGAACCAATATGTGACTACACACCAGCATCGGGCTTCTTCCCTTATTGTTCTTTTACAAATGGGGAGACCTCTCCAACTGTTTCCATGGCAGAATTAGGTAATAAGAGAGAAAAGTTTCCATTGTAATTGCTTTAATAATACCCTTTGGATTAAACATAGCATTCTGAAACAGCTGCAAGGGAGAAGGCTGTTTTTGTACAGCTTGTAACAGCATACAACACTGGTCTGTGAAGTACCCAGCACTCTTAACTCCAGTTGGTACTCAGTGGCATTCAGCAGCTTACAGAATCTGACCAAAAAATCCTATTGGCTCCTTGCTGATGGGAAGCAGATCGTGTTGCCCAAAGGTGTAACTATACTGTTCTGCCCTGGTGGGTCCTTCCTCTCCCTTAGTTAAGCTACTAGCGTTCCCTTTATTTGAATCCAGCTAGTAAAGAGTATATCATGAATACTGGCAGTTATTTGAACCATTTTAGACAGGAGCAAATATGCATAATAGTCCTTTTATTGGACAAATGGAATTGTATTTTTACTTATATGATTGGACTA